GAGAGACAGAGACAGAGACAGAGACATAGACAGAGACAGAGACATAGACAGAGACAGAGACAGAGAGAGCGCACCGGGATCTTTAGTCTGCATAAAGGCTGACATAAAAAGCAAGGAATTCTAGGGAATTCTAGGGATGAAAGTTAACCAAGGTTGTGAGTGAACTATTTGGAAAGACAAAGATTTCAGAATGAGAAGAGCTTAGCCCAAATGTTAAAGGTTCCCAAGTCGACCTGCATGTTGATTTCTGTTCTCTTAGTTTTGTTCCAGGGCTGACACCAGGATTTGTGAAACGGAGACAGATGTTAGGCCTCCTGACAGGTGCCCACCCACCACCTGCGAGTAGCTTAGTGGAAATGAGCTGGGTTCTCAATTTTTTCCACTGCCACCCCCACCCTGCGCGCCCTTCTCTCTTTCTTTGCTGGACTAAGTACTCAGAGCAGCCACTCTGCCTTTTAGCACCTCCACTGCTTAGTGTATATATGTGTGTGTGGTGAGGGGGGTCCCAACCCTGGTGCCCTTGCTGCAACTCCTGCTACCTCAGCGCTTGCAGGGGCACAAGTCAATGAGGCTTTTCCCTCAGCGATCATCGTGAATCAGCAAAGCGCTGCAGAGCAGCAGCATCTCAGGGAGCAGAAATTAAGATGCTGGGGGAAGGGCACAAAGGGAATGTAGCAGGGGAATTTCTAGCCTGGCTCTGTATGTCCTTCCTAAGAAGGGCAATATAGTGTGCGAGGTGGGTGTGGGTTGGATGCTGCGGGACTCCGCGGAGCCTTCCATAAGAGCTGGATGGCAAAAAGCGGGGACCACCAGAGAGAAACCAGCAGTAGACAGGTGGAAGGACCCAGGAAGCAAGCTCAGGCTGCACTGGACAAGTGCGTCCCCAGGCTGGACAGATCAGCCGTTGCAGTCATTGCTGAAGGATTGTAGATGTGGTATAGGGAAAGGAACGGGAAAATTTAGAAAAGGATTTTTAGGTCCACGACTTCCTGTCTCCAACGTGCAAGTTCTCAAGTTCAGTTTGAGAAGTAGAGGACCTATTGGTGTTAGAGAATCTAGGAGGATGGGAATATTAGGAAATGCCTCTTTCAGTTGTGTTCTCCTACTCCTGCGGAGCTCGCTCTTGTGCTCTTGTGTCTGTCTCTGTCTCTGTCTCTGTCTCTGTCTCTCTCTCTCTCTCT